TTAACGTACCTGCGAGGTAGGACAGGGCCTTGGGGCGCTGCTCAGCTTGCTCTGCTCCCTCCTTTCCACCCCTGCTCTACAGGTTTCCTCAAGGACCCTGCCACCCCTAGCAACCCCAAGGCTTCTGCTTGAGTTTTCAACCCCAAAGCCCAGAAGCTGCTCCCCCACCAGCACTTCCCCCCCAGGATCAAGTGATTCGAGCCCTGCGTGATCCAGCCACTGCAAGGGACTGTCATAGCGGGTAATGCTGCAGGGAAGGCACCTACCAGCCTGAGTTTTGTTTCTCCTAGAATCCCAGAACCATTTGGGTTGGAAGGGAGCTTAAAGCTCCTCCAGTTCCAACCCCTGCCACGGGCAGGGACACCTTCCACTAGAGCAGGTTGCTCCAAGTCCCTGTGTCCAACCTGGCCTTGAACACTGCCAGGGATGGGGCAGCCACAGCTTCTCTGGGCACCCTGTGCCAGCGCCTCAGCACCCTCACAGGGAAGAGCTTCTGCCTCAGAGCTCATCTCAATCTCCCCTCTGGCAGGTTCAAGCCATTCCCCTCATCCTGTCCCTCTTTTTTATGCAGAAACTCTTTCTGCCTCAGAAATCCATCTGTTTATCTGGGCTCCAGAGGCTGGGCAGGAGCTGAAGATGCAGGGGAGCAGTTAACCCATTCCTCCCTTGGCTGCAGGTGGGGATGGCATCCCGGGTGTTCACTTCCCCAGGGCCACACTGCTGATGCAGGACACACCACGCTGAAATGTTTCCTTGCCAGCTCAGCAGAAAAGCCCTTCTGGCGCTGCAACCCAATTACAGCGAGGAACGAGCAGGACAAGACCAGGGAAATGAAATTGAGAAAGAAGTGATTTAGGGAACAGAAAAGGACAATTTTGGAGGGCTTTAGCCCGAGCTGCGTGACACAGCAGCCAGCAAAAGCAAAACAACATCTCATCAAGAGGAGCACACAATAGCTGATCCCCAGCAGCAGTAGAGGCTGCAGCCGCTCGGCTCCACGCTCCGCTCTGTAATTATGCAATCCAGTGGGATGTTCAGGCAAACATCTGCTCCATGGGAACAGAAAAGGACAATTTTGGAGGGCTTTAGCCCGAGCTGCGTGACACAGCAGCCAGCAAAAGCAAAACAACATCTCATCAAGAGGAGCACACAATAGCTGATCCCCAGCAGCAGTAGAGGCTGCAGCCGCTCGGCTCCACGCTCCGCTCTGTAATTATGCAATCCAGTGGGATGTTCAGGCAAACATCTGCTCCATGGGAAAGGTGCAGCCTTATCTGAACACAGTGTTCCTGCTCTTTTCCACTCTGCCAGTCACAGAAGTGGAACAACACACGCTCCCCAGCACGTCCAGCGTGCCCCGGCAGCATGGTTGGGACGCCGGTCTCTTCCCAGCCTCTGGCTCCTCTCTTCATTAAAGCCTTCAAGTCCAAATCTGTGTACCAGAACTCACAGCAAAGCTTGATGAGGATTAATTAGACAGCAAACATCCCAGCAGGAAGCGTAACCTCTCCAGGACAGAGACAGCTCTGTGACGACATCCAGGCACAGCGGCACCACGCTAAAACCACGACGCCAATTTAAAGTGAGCCCATAAAAGGTTGAAGGACTTTGAAGTCGCATTCCTCACCGCCTTCCACAGGAGCTACAGCAACAGCCAGTTGTCCCCTTACCTTTGTTCAGGGGTAGGATTTACTTCAGATCCTCCTCTAGCAGGTCACAACCCACCAACTCACTGGAGTGTCTCCTGGCTACTGGGGGAGCTGTAGGTCACCAGCAAGGCAACAGACAACCTCCTGTTGCCTTTCTACTTGCAAAAACATCAGGGACATGAACATAGCACATGACCCCAAGCAGCCCCTGGGACTCTATTTGTGTGTTCAGATGGAGTTTTCAGCTGCCACAAGATCCCAGATTACTGTTTCCCAGCCCCAGGTCAGAGAAGCACAATTCAGCTCTGCAAAGGCTTGGTCCAGAAATCACTTCCTGCCTTTGTTTTCTAGCATTGCTCCAAATGTCCCGCCTAGAAGCAGGATTCAGCTCTTCTAACACATGCAGTGTCCTCCATGCAGGGGAAAGATCCTCAGGTGGATCCTCCACTATGTTGTTCTCAAAGTGCCACTAATAAAGAGGGAGAAGCAAGAGCTGACTAATCACAGAAATCCCAACAGTTTAAACCCAACTGGTTTGGTTGGAAAGGACCTTAAAGCTCCTCCAGCTCCAACCCCTGCCACGGGCAGGGACACCTTCCACTAGAGCAGGTTGCTCCAAGCCCCTGTGTCCAACCTGGCCTTGAACACTGCCAGGGATGGGGCAGCCACAGCTTCTCTGGGCACCCTGTGCCAGCGCCTCAGCACCCTCCCAGGGAAGAACTTCTGCCTCAGAGCTCACCTCAATCTCCCCTCTGGCAGGTTAAAGC